TAACTTCCCTGTGAATACTACGAAACAACGATACGTACCTATACGTGGCAAAATGTACCGCAGCATAGTAGAATTTTCATTTAACTGATGCAAGATCTCCGCGTGAATTAAGTGGTGAAATGTATAGTACAGATATGTGTGTGTGTGTTTTTTTTTAAATATGTTCCCGCGCTCTAATTGCGCGCGAAAGAACTTGCAATCTATGCACGGGCGCATCGTGTTATTCGCGTAATGCGGAACCTCGTTCATTACATAACCGTGTAACGTAACGCGGAAAAAAAGGACATGGATTTCAACAGGATTGGGTTCGCAATAGGTGCATTCCGAAAGAGAGAGAGAGAGAGAGAGAGAAGAAAAGAAAAAGGAGTTGTTCGAAGAAACAAAATGATACAAGGAATAAAAAGAACGATGATACGGCTTCACTGAGATATCGTTTTTTCGCATGTTGTACACCGATTTTTTTTTTCGCCTTTGGAGACTCCATGCCACATATGTACATATTTGGGTAGCTGTTGCCCTCGCATGCTGTATTGTGTAGCATGCACGAACAGTTGTACAATGTGCGCATATACAATTATAGTCCTTTGTACAGGTACATTGGTTGATAAAAATTCACATTGTTGCAAAATGGTTGAGTATAATAGAATCCAATGGACAATGGTAAAAATTTGGAAACTTGTGAATTTGTAAATTTGTAAATTTCTAATTTTTAGATTTGTAAAATTGTAAATTTCTCAATTTCTACATTCGTAAATTTGTAAATTTCTCAATTTCTAAATTTGTAAAGTTGTAAATTTGAAAATTTGAAAATTTGTAAATTTGTAAATTTGTAAATTTGTAAAATTGTAAATTTCTAAATTTCTAAATTTCTAAATTTCTAAATTGGTAAAATTGTAAATTTCTAAATTTGTATGTAAATTTCGCAATTTCTAAATTTTTAAAATTGTAAATTTGTAAAATTGTAAAATTGTAAATTTGTAGAATTGTAAATTCTCAATTTCTAAATTTGTAAAATTGTAAATTTCTAAATTTCTAAATTGGTAAAATTGTAAATTTCTAAATTTGTATGTAAATTTCGCAATTTCTAAATTTTTAAAATTGTAAATTTCTAAATTTCTAAATTTCTAAATTTCTAAATTTCTAAATTTCTAAATTTCTAAATTTCTAAATTTCTAAATTTCTAAATTTCTAAATTTCTAAATTTCTAAATTTCTAAATTTCTAAATTTCTAAATTTCTAAATTTCTAAATTTCTAAATTTCTAAATTTCTAAATTTCTAAATTTCTAAATTTCTAAATTTCTAAATTTCTAAATTTCTAAATTTCTAAATTTCTAAATTTCTAAATTTCTAAATTTCTAAATTTCTAAATTTCTAAATTTCTAAATTTCTAAATTTCTAAATTTCTAAATTTCTAAATTTCTAAATTTCTAAATTTCTAAATTTCTAAATTTCTAAATTTCTAAATTTCTAAATTTCTAAATTTCTAAATTTCTAAATTTCTAAATTTCTAAATTGGTAAAATTGTAAATTTCTAAATTTGTATGTAAATTTCGCAATTTCTAAATTTTTAAAATTGTAAATTTCTAAATTTGTATGTAAATTTCTAAATTTCTAAATTTGCAAAATTGTAAACTTCTCAATTTCTAAATTTGCAAAATTGTAAATTTCTCAATTTCTAAATTTGTAAATCCTTAACACTGTTTTTAATTTTCATTATAGTGCTACCCTGTTGTGTCGTTTTAACGTGAATATCTCTGAAGTACTATACTCTAACCACGTTTAACGTGATCCAAATATTCGACTGATATTTCTCTTTCCTTAGATTTTGAGCAGTGTAAATCAATACAAAATAAACATCCTATATTTAAGCAGGAAATTTTTCTGATGAGAACTTCTCATTGAGAAACAGACTGTTGCAACAGATGCGGAAATATATTCGTGTATAAAGATCAATATCTTCAGTATTGTAGCGTTTTAAGTTTAATACCGAGTTGTTAAAACGAATGAATTTCTTCAAGTTAATCGTACGTTCAGTTAAAATTTTCGAAAATCGTATCAAGAAAAGATTTAATTAAATTTGCAAAACACAAGCGAACATCATTTATCAGTATGTATTTACACCACCATATAATAATTTTTCAATAACACTATCGTCAAATGAAATAAACAAATCAATTTTCAATACCAATTTCTTCCACAAGAAATCCTTCTCTCCTTTATTACAATCATTTCATAATCAT